TTCAGTGGCATGAAATGCCTCCAGCCACTTAGCCATTACCCCTCAGCACTGCTCCTTCCTTGACGCTACAAAATATTAAGAATGTTAGTGTGTGTGTGTTTGTAAGTGTGTTGTGACTGTATGTGTGCGTATGTCTGTGTGTTGTGAGTATATGTGTATGTTGTGTGTGCCGTGAGTATATATGTGTTTGTTGTGTGTAGTGAGCATGTGTGTCGTGTGTTGTGTACATGTGTATAGTGAGTGTATGTCTGTGAGTGTGTTGTATGTTGTGAGTATATATGTTGTTGAGTGTGAGCGTGTAGTGAGTTCATGTGTGTGTTGTGTGTAGTGAGCATATGTGTGCAAGGGTGTTATGTGTATGTTGTAAGTGTATGTGAATGTGTGTAATGAGTATATGTGAATGTGCAAGTGTTATGAATGTGTTATGAGTGTACCTGAGTGTGTAGTGAGTGTGGGTTTGTGGTGTATATAGTGAGTGCGTTGTGTGTGCAGTGAGTGTGCTGTGTGTGAGTGTATAGTAAGTTTATATGACTGTGTAAGTATGTTGTGTGTGTAGTGTGTTTGAATGTGTGTGTGTAGTGAGTATGCAAGTGTGTGTGGAGTGAGTGTGACTGTGTAAAGTATGTTGTGTGTGGAGAATTGTAGTGAGTGTTATGTGCGCAGTGTGTTGTGTGTGTGTAGTGACTGTATGTGAGTGTGTTGTGTGTGGAGATGTGTAGTGAGTATGTTGTGTGTGCAGTGTGTTGTGTGTGTGTGCAGTAAGTGTATGTGAGTGAGTGTATAGTGAGTGTGTGTGGAATATGTTATGTATGGAGAATGTGTAGTGAGTGTCTTATGTGGGCAGTGTGTTGTGTGTGAGTGCATAGTAAGTGTCTGCAAATTTGTGAGTGTGTGTGGAGTGTGTTGTGTGTGGAGAATGTGTAGTGAGTGTGTTGTGTGTGCAGTGCATTGTGTGTGTGAGTGTGTAGCAAGTGTGTGAGTGTGGAGTGTGTGTGGATTGCGTTGTGTGTGGAGAAGGTGTAGTGAGGTGTGTGCAGTGTGTTGCGTAGTAAGTGTATGTGAATTTGTGAGTGTGTATGGAATGTGTTGTGAGTGGAGAGTGTTTAGTGAGTGTGTTGTGTGTGCAGTGCGCTGTGTGTGTGAGTGTGTAGCGAATGTATGTGAGTGTGGAGTGTATGTGGAGTGTGTTGTGTGTGGAGAAAGTGTAGTGAGTGTGTTGTGTGTGCAGTGTGCTGCATAGTAAGCGTATGTGAATCTGTGAGTGTGTGTGGAGTAAAGTTGTGAGTAAAGTTGTGAGTGGAGAATGTGCAGTGAGTGCATTGTGTGTGTGAGTGTGCAACGAGTGTGTGTTTGCCACCTTGGAGCCTGGACCTACTGATGTGATGTCCTGGGAGAGTCGAGCAGGGATCAGGAGACCCGGGAGAGAAACACAGGCACCGGAGTGAACGACAGAGGGAGAACAGCAAGACCAGCGTTTCAGAAGCGATTTTCTTCAAGAAGGCTTCCTGCGAGTCTTGTCCTCTGGCCTCTTTAGCTGTGGGTTGGAGCCGAGAGATGACGTGGACCAAATGGATCCTGTCTCAGACAGCCTGGCAGCAGCACTTCTGCAGAAACTGCAGGGCTAATTCTCTCAAGCTGTAGCTGGGGAGCTTCCAGGAACAGAATCACTGGAAGGTGCGGCCCTTCCCTCTTCTCAGCCGCAGGCTGAGATCCGAATTCAGACACCAGGATACACTGTGGCCAGGACGGCAGCTTGGGTGTTTGATGTGAATCCAGGACCTGAGAGCCACTTTTCCAAGGCAGCAGGGCCCCAGGCTGGTTGGGAGACAAGGTCCTACAGCTCTCCTCCGACTCCCTCTATTCGCTCCAAACACATATATGGACGGCGGATGTGTGAATTTTTTTTCCTCCTCTTTTGTTGTAAGAAAATACCAACTGAATCTAGTGAGTGCAAAAGGGTGGCCATAGCCCGAGACTTGGAGCCCGGAGTCCGGGTGTTCTGCCTTGGCTCTGCCTGGCAGCATTGACCTTGGGTTATCCATTCAGTGTCTGTACTCTAAATTGTTCTCACCTGTAAGACTGTGCAATTCTTGTTGCCACACTTGGTTCTCACGAAGTTGAGAAGATTAAAGAAGACATTGAGTGTGAAAATGCCTTGAGATCAGCCAGAACCTTTCACAGATGTAAAGTATTATTGTCCATAGAATCATACGAGGAGTGCCTGTCTCTGCAAATCACCCTGGTGTTGTTTTTTTTAACTAATCAACGTCAGTGAAAAACACTCTATATAAAAAAAAAGGAAAATATACAAGTGAATGCATCTTCTGAAGGCCTATGAACTTTCAGCTTTCAGATGACAGAAAATATTTATTTTTTCAGCCCATATTTCAAAAAAGAAAAGAGAAGATTTGGGCTATAATTTCACCCAATTTTATACCCCCTCTATTATATTGCTATGCTCTTGACATTCTAATTACTGAATCACTGGATAATTTGAGGCAAAAAGAAAAAACCTTGATTAATACTGATTTTTAGAGCACTAGTGATAGCTGTTTTTTATTGAATTCTGACCATGGATCGTGGGAAAGAAAGAGCACTTTGTTCAGCTGAACCCTTTAGCTAAGTAGTTTCACTTCCTCATTGCAGATGAGAAAATTAAAGTGCACAGAGGTTAACTTGCTCCTCAGGTTAAAAAAATCAGTAAATGGCAGAGCACTGAATTTGAATTCAGGTCTCTCCGAAGCCAAAATCTGTGGTTTTACTTTTAAGTGATAATATTTCTCTGCAAACTATGTTACAGTACTCCTCAATAAAACACATTTCATTTTAGATTATTAAGTCAGATGAATAAGCAGCATGTTTTTGAGGGCAAAATTTAGCTAACTGGAATAGACTTGTTGATATCCAAAAAGATTTGGGGACGTGAGTGTTGAAGTTTGCAATCTTGTTGACAGTCAAGGTACAGCCTGTATTAATGTCCCCACACAAACCCTGGCTTCAAAGGACCTGTGGGAAGGGAGGGTTGGGAGATTCCTTCCAGAGAAAATCAAATTGGAGGTGTGTGTAGAGGGCTCTTTTTCTAATGTTCACTTAGATAATTAGTCTCTGGGTTAAATTATATACACATTTAGTACAAGTTGTTTTTTTTAATGCTATTTTCACTCATCTATGACAGTGGTCCCCAAATTCGGCCATGTGTCCGATCATACAGTAAAAAAAACAATTTAATACATATTTCAAGGTCCCTGACTAGACCTATTGTGTCAGAATTTATCTCTATTTTTTAAATTCCCCCAGACATTTCTTATATAGTAGGTCCATTGAATCACTGATGTGTTATGATTTATGACCTTTCAGAATTGATTTTTTTAAAATCCTAACACTACATAGTCCTTAAACCATTTAAATCACTTTGCTTTTTTTTCCCCAAGAGTACTAGATTATCTAAAAAGCTACAGCTACTGAAAACCAAAGCTTCTATAATTATGAGTCAAATGGGTAACATACACATATAAAATTGTGTAGAAAGTCAAGGAAGCAAAAGACCTAAGTGCTGTCCATTTCCCATGTTGAAACCTCATGTTGCAACTTTATCCCAAAGAGAATTGTATGTCTGAGTCATAAAAATCTAAGAGCTCCTCGTGGGAGTACCAAGATAATATCCCCTTAAGACCATTAGACTTACTCTTTCGACCCCTCAGCCACTTTGAGAAAGACTTTCCAGCCTTTCTGATGACTCCCTGCACAAACTATAAATAATTTACTGTTTTCTATCATGACCATTTATCAGAGATATTTTCCTGTTCCTGCTCTAAGAAGAAAATGTGTTTACTCAACAGGGATTGTTATTTTTCCCATATGTTAAACAACGTATTCAGGTCACAAACAGACAAGAATGTCATCCACAGTGCATAAGTAGAGAAGAATCTTGACACCAGTAATTGTGTACTTTCATGTCAAAACACTGCATTAGCATGTCCTTGCAAATATCTGAAAACAAATAGGTGAAAGTTATTTGTAATTAAAAAACTAAGAAGAAGCATTCAGATCCAATTCAGTGTAAAATTTATTCTAAGAAAAATCGTCATCATTTTAAATTTATACAAGTGGTTCTTTGAAGGTGAAACAAGGTTTGTTTTTCTCTTAAACGTACATGATTTCCTTTCTGAAAAGCAGAATTATTTGCGTATTTTTAGGTGGAGCTTTGAAAAATAATTATTCCAAAAACCCACTAGCATATTTTTTTTCTTCTCCCTGGACAAGGTGTATAGCAATAGAGAACAGATTTAATAAAGTACTGTACGCTCTTGTCCCTGCCCTGTTGATTTTGTGACCTAGGAAACCAAACCAACTTTCAATGACCCATTGGCAAACTGTCCGGTTGAAAAGTTCTTCCATCCAACCTACTAGGAGGGAAAAGTTGGATCTAGACATGGTTGAACTAGAACCAAAATCAGTAGGTCTAGATGAAAACCGCACATGCATTTTGGGAATATACAAGCTAGTGATGAAATATGAAAACATACTGGTAAGTCTGAGCAAAAGAAAATCTCAAGTAGGCTCCCCTTTCTGAGAATGCATAAACTCAGTCAGCTGGAAAATCATTCCTCTCCGTCTGAAAAACATGTAGAAGAAATCAAAGATTAACAGTCCGTATTCCATAGGTTTTGCTACCGAAGTGTTGTAATGATTCAGTAGTTTGGATTGATGAGTAATTAACATTGAAATTCTTATTTTCTCTCCTACGAGAGCACTTTCATAGGAACAAAAGTTTAATCTGTTCCCTGTAATTTGGTTTCTGTGATGGCCTCTCATATTTTTGTATGGCTTTGGGAAGAGATCTATTCAGATTTCATGTTTATTATGGGTCAGCATTGAATTATGCAACTAGCACAAAGAGTATATCATGAATAAATGTTGCTCAGATGACATTTGCTGGTGATGTTTTAAAGTCGTTTTTCTAAAGCAATCTTTTCTCTTGTGTTGTCTTCCGTTAACAGCCCACTTTTCCTGTAGGTCCTGCAATAGGGACAAACACGGCTATTAGCTTTGCTCCTTACTTAGCACCTGTAACCCCTGGAGTTGGGTTAGTCCCAACGGAAATTCTACCCACCACACCCGTTATTGTTCCCGGAAGTCCACCAGTCACTGTCCCGGGCTCAACTGCAACTCAGAAACTTCTCAGGACTGACAAACTGGAGGTACTTTCATTATATTTGTGTTTTGGGATGTCTTTGTGGTAGAAGTATACGTCTATGGAAGTGATTGCTTGAGAGATACTAATTCAGTCCTGCATGCACATGCTTACCTAAAACCCATGCAGTCATAACTCTGTGGTTTGAAATTAAGGCTGCATATAAACGAGATTAGTTTATAGGAAAAGAATAACTCTAATACAAACAGAAATCAGCTGTGTAGAGTAGGATGTAAGATGTTAAGCCACAAGTAGTATATTGGATCAGTCACTACGCAGGCCATAGAGATGATTCAAGATCCTGAAGGCCTCCTCTGTGCCTGGCACTAACCTTTGTTAGATCCTAGAAAATTCTGGGAACCCACAGGTCAGGAGTCTGGCAACCAAGGAAATTGGGATCACTTAGGGACAGTGTGGGAGTAAGTAAGTGGGACAACAACTATTTACCGACTGGTATGATCATATTTCATTATTTTAAGAACAAGCATGTCTTCTCTACTGGGTTCCAGATTGTGTTGTTGGTGAACAAGGGGAATTTGGAAGATGAGTAGAATTAGTTATTAATTGAGACGTCTTCTTTCATTTCAAATCAAATGTTCTAAAACATTCAAGAAAACACGTTCATATATTTATAAAACATCAAATTCTTAAGTTATGAACCGGTTCTTTAGGGTAAAAATTCTTAAATGATACATCGCACCAACTCTCCAGTACTTTGTTGGGTAAAATTTCACTCTAATCAGAGCTGGATAGTTGATCTATTTATCTTACTAAACTATACCCATGCTAGTTACTAGCATAGTAAATATTCTCAGAGATTTTTCAGAGAACTCCTTTAAAAATTCCATTACTGATGAAAGTTGTTAGGTGACACCTGTATGGGTGGGGCGTACACTGTGCTTTACTTTGGGAGGACCATTAGAGAATGTTCTTCCAGTCTGCATTTGTTTAATTATTAACCCAGTGCACCTTAGAGAGCAATGACATGTTGCTGCCTAATAATCCTGTGAATACTTGAAAATTCAGACTTTCAAACTGCAAATATTTTTAAAGATATTTCTTCACTCAGTTTCAGTCTAGAATATACATTCCCCAGATGAAGAGAATGTAAACAAACTCTCATCGCTACTATTTTGCAAAGATCTAGCCTGTCCCTGTCACTACTGAACAGACCTCTCCTGGGACTGGAAAAGTGTTTTGGGCTCCACCTGCTGGACCGACAGAGCACTTGTGTTCAGTATGTGTCGCCGTTTTCGAAAACAAATGAAATCAGCAGAATTGGGGAAAAAACAGTCCTTCCCAACAGGACTGGAGGCAGAGACATGTGTAAAAAATGATTCACAGCGACTTTAGCAGGATGGCTTTGGGTTCATTTCAAACCGGGAATGAAGTCAGCGCCACGCAGAGCCCCTTGGTAGAAGGTTGATGACTGGTCTACACCTGTGACGCTGTCACAGGCAGGAATCATCCCATTTATAGAAGCCTTAATCAGAATCTGTGGGAACACTTGCAATTTTTGGTTTGTACGTTTTGTGACAAATAAAGTCTTAGAACAAAGATAGAACGTTGGCTAGCATACAGAGTGGGAGGAAACGATGACCGATCTTGTGATTAATGCTGTTTACCCTCCGACCTTGCCTGGCCCCTGGTCAGTGAATCAGTATGTCCCGACATCTCTGATTTTCACAAGACCCGAAGTTTATGTTGGGAACCTTTCATAGAGCATCACGGATAGTCAAGGTGGGAGCCACCACTTACACATATTGACTTTGAAATTGCAGCCTAAAAAGAAATAAGTTTCAATTCTACTAGCAGCAGTTCCTTCCTGCTGATGATATTTACAAACAGAAAAAAAAAATTATATAAGCAATCTGTGTACATTATTCATGCTTATTTCATGTTGTCTATTTTCAGGGTAAAATTAAGAATACTCTCTAAATTTAACGAAACCTTTCCTTATGCAGTAAAATCTTATTCCACCAGAATTCTCAAAGGATGGAGAATTCTAGTTACTTAAAATTTCAGGATAATTTAAGATGAAAGGATCTTTAAAATTCAGCACGTCCAACTTTATTCTCCTTCCCTCCATTTATTTCTTTCTCTCTATTTCTTGCCATGTTTCTCTCCTTTTTTTCTTTTTTAAAATCTTCTTTCTGTGTTGTCAAAAATAATATCATGACCTTAAAATGAAAGTTTTGGTGTCTTAGATGTTGTACTTCTGAATCAGGATCTTGTTATCTTTGTGGAGCAGGAGAGAAGGAGGGATACCTAGGAGTATCTAGATTCACCCCACCCTACTCCCTGTCCTCAGAGAAGAGGAAGAGCAAGTTTGTCATTTCCCTTGATTTGTTTTGGAGTTGTACAGCCATAACCTGGCAGCTTGCTCTGTGGTGAAATTATTCCCCCCCACCTCCCCCATGTTAAAAAGCCTGTAGCACCCCCAGACTTCTTGTCTGGGTTGGGGATTGAAGGGGGTGGGAGAGATGGAGCATTGATAAATGGTAGATTAAAAGTAGATAAATAGCTGGCTAGCTAGCTCGACAGAGAGATGAATGATAGGTGATTGATAGATAATAGATTATGGGTAGATGATAGATTGATAGATTAAAAGAAGGTAAATAGCTAGTCGGATGATAGGTGATTGCTGACAGATTGTGGGTAGATAATAGATAGATGATCCACCCCCCCACCCCCCCAGGGACAATGGAGGCCCTGCTAGCATTTCTTCGTTATTTTAGGGGCACTGCCAATTTCGGGTTATTCTCTTAACATAGATTTCTTCACCCTCGAAAAGGAAGTAGGACCAGACCCCAAGTTAGGTGGTCGGAGAGTCTGACTCTCGGGTTCTGGATACTCAGCATCTTGCGGCCAGCGGCCCAAGAGCCAGCCTTCCGCGAAAGGAAAGGCGCCTCTTCCGGAGGCACATCGCGGGGGGCGGGGGGGGGGCGCCGGGGCAGCCGGCTGCGGCCAGCGGGGGGTCCCCGTCTGCATCGCGGCTCTTCTTCCCTGCCCTAGGTGTGCAGGGAGTTCCAGCGAGGAAACTGTGCCCGGGGAGAGACCGACTGCCGCTTTGCCCACCCCGCCGACAGCACCATGATCGACACAAACGACAACACCGTAACCGTTTGTATGGATTACATAAAGGGGCGTTGCATGAGGGAGAAATGCAAATATTT